ATCTATTGATCATCTATCTAGTCCATTATCTATTGATCATCTATCTATCTAGTCCATTATCTATTGATCATCTATTTACCTACCATCTATCCATCCGCGATCTACCTATCTATTCTATCATCCATTAATCCCTCTTCCCCCCCCCACCAAAAGAGATGTGGCCAATGCAATGTAAGGGATAAAATATTAAATTAAGAAGCAACCATAATAAAATCACCATAACGCGGAGCCACAGAATTGCAGCGAGACGGAGGTTTTAATCGAACCGATTGGTAGATAAAAGATAGAATCCACATCTGATGGCAAATAATACAATAATATCCACTCAGCTGTTCTGGCACAGCACTTCGGAGGAGAGTCCCAATGGGCGGAGTAGGATTTGAACCCCCCACCTCAACTTAGGTGCAATGTTATGCACGGCCGCAACTCCCACCCGAGGATCTGCACCCCTATTTGTGTCCCCCACTCCTTTTTTTTTTTTTTTTTTGCCCACCAGGATCGCTGAGCAACGCGTAAGCAAACTCGCGTGGGGGATAGAAGAGAAGAGGCGGGGGAATAGCTCGTGAGGGCGTGGCCTGCGGAAAAAGAACCCGCCCACTCTTCCCCGATTGGTGCGCCAGGCCCCGCAAACCCCGCCCACCCCCGCGCGACTGCTGCTGTGCACGTCCTCACGTAGGCCGCTCGCGTCGCTTCACCCATCCCTTCCCAAGGGGGCCCGAAAGGGCGTGGCCTGGCCTCGCCTGGCCCAGCCCACCTTTTTTTCCTCGTCCCTCCGCCAATCCGAGCGGCGCTGCCATCCAGCGCCTCCCGATCGGGCGGTGCCTGTGTCTCCCTCACCGCGACTCCTGATTGGTCGCCGCCCGTTAACCAATGACCAGCGCCGGAGCGGAAGAGAGAGAAAAGAAAGGCGACGCGAGCCTCCCGGAGCTCTTTAACCAGCGTGGAGGCGGGGCCCGGCAGGCCGGTCAAGCCATTGGCGGAGACGCCCGTGGACCTTGCTTGCGATTGGAGGGCCCGGCCGTCCCTCCGCGCGCGGCAGCAGCCAATCGGCGGCCGGTGGCGGGGGCTGCTCGGCCGTTGGAGGCGGAGGAGAGGCAAACGGCTGTTTTCTGAGGCGCCCCTCCCCCTCCCCCCGCTTTGCTCCCCTCAGCGGCCGCTCGGACAGGCGACGACGTGACGGGAGGCGTTGCCGACCGGTGAGACGAGCGTCGTCGACCGTGGAGGGCTGGGCGGTTTTCCTCAGGGGAGGGGGCGGGAGAGCCAGTGGGCCGTCCGTCGCCGCCGCACGGCCTGGGCCGCGAGTCCTGAGGGCTATCGAGGCCCTCCCCGTCACGAGGGGGGCCCCTGAAAAACCCTGAGGGGGAGTCTCGTCGCTGAGGGATCTGGAGCCCGAGACGCCCCCGGCCCCGACCAAGGGGCTACCGACGGGGGGAAGAGTGAGGAGGGTCCTGCATGCCGTCGCGGTTCCCCCTTCAAGAGAAGAGACCATTTTGGCCCCTGAGGTTCCTATTCCCGAAGCTGGGGAGACTCTGGGATTTGGGTGAGGTTCCGAAAGGTCATCTAGTCCATCCCCCCCCCCTTCCCTCAGCATCCTCACTTCGACAGGCCCGGCCTCCTCTCGGAGAGAGGGGATGCTCTCGCTTTCTTGAGGTTTCTGCCGTTCGGGGTTTCGCGGTTGTTTCTTAACGGGGAGGGTCCTCGGCTTGCGACGGGCAACTTGGAGCCCCCCCCAGAATTCCTGTTGCTAAGTGAGACGGTTGTTAAATGAGCTTGGCTCCATTTGATCACCTTTCTTGGCCAGGGTGGTTGACTTGAGTCGCTGC